AATTGCGGAAACAAAACAGAAACGATTGGAGCAGGAGCGGAACACGTAGTCGAAGCCAGGTAATCGCGGGACATGCACACATACTAAGGGTATGAACCAGCAGCGAGTGAACAGAAAACAGGTGTATAAATACAGGACCGGACGGGGCGATAATGAACAGCAGGTGAATGGCATGGAGACTGATTGTCGTGGCAGAACAGCGGGGAACAGGACCGGAGGATAATGAGCACAGGTGAGTGGAATAATGATTAATAGTGGTGAGAGGAGTGGAGAGAGAACAGGTAAACAGAAACGTAAATATGGGAAGTCGAGCTACGTGGAACCGTAACAATAACGTAGCATAGTTAACAAGAGTTAGGTGCACAGTAAGTGCAATGAAGAGGCAAAAGCAAGACAACCCCCAAAATGGGAATGGTTTTGAATGTGGTGGCCATAGACAAATTCTCTCTTCTTATCCTTCCTGACTGATTCTTCTCAGGTTTTGTGTTTTGCTAGTGTCCTTGTCACTACTGGTGTCACCAAAGATCAAAGATTTTTTTATTGTCAATTCACTATATGTGCAGGACATACAGAGAAATCGTAATACTGTTTCTCTCTCACCAAATGTTGAATTCCCATACCATTTAAGAAACTAGAATAGAATAAACATAGAATAAATAGAATATGAAAACTGAATTAAACTTCTTCTTTTGGCTGTTCCCGTTAGGGGTCGCCACAGCGAATCATTTGTTTCCACCTAACTCTATCCTCGGCATCCTCTACTCTCACCCCAATTAACTTCATGTCCTCTTTTAGCACATCCATATATCTCCTCTTTGGCCTTTCTCTTGACCTCTTGCCTGGCAGCTCCATCTCCAACATCCTTTTACCAATACAACCACTCTCCCTCCTCTGCACATGTCCAAACCATCTCAATCTGGCTTCTCTGACCTTGTCCCCAAAACAGCCGACCTGAGCTGTCCCTCTGATGTGCTCATTCCTAATCCTGTCCATCTTGGTCACTCCTAAAGAGAACCTCAACATCCTCATCTCTGCCTCTTGTCTTTTCCTCACTGCTACCGTCTCCAACCCATACAGCATAGCTGGTCTCACTACTGTCTTGT